AATGTGACCTCGCTGACTATCACGTGAATATCTTCAAGTAACGCCACCTTGCTTGAAGTTGACGCTTTATGTTTCTTCGCTGAAATGGACTGGTAACGCATTGTATGAACAAGTCTCCTATTTCCAGAACAACTGAGTTATGCATGCTTGTTTTAATTAGTGAAAGTGGTCTTTAACTTCATCTATCGAGGCAGACTTTGGCCAGAGGGCACTGCAACAGTGATAGAGTTCCACTCCGGATTGGAGAACGCATAAATAAAACGAGAAAATCATTCGCAAAGCTGCAGCGAGAAAATCGCCGCAGCTTTGCGGGCCAACTTGGCGCGGAAGAGGACGTAAACATTTCAAACTAATTTCATTTTTATTTCCTTAAGGACCCCCACTCGGGGGTATTATATAAGGGGTGGATACACAGGAAAAGAGAACATTTGAACACGTTAGTTTTCGCAGCATAGGTGATTTGTAAGATTTGTCGCGAAGGATGATGGGCAGGTGGTTGAAGCAATGGAGCAGGGAAGGTCGTTCCAATCCTTGACGGCGCAGGAAAAAAAGAAGCGGAAAAAGCGGCTGTTCTGTTACGATAACGGGACACTTGAAGTGGATGGCTTGTGCGGTGTGAAATGTATGTCGGGGGGAGGATGTAAGGAGCTGCATTGAGAGAAGAATGAAAAAATTTATGAAAGAGAGAAAGGGTGGCGATACGGCGGCGAACAGAGAGGGGTGATAAATCGGATTGTGCTTTCAAGGATGAAATACTGATGTCGTATGAGTACTGGGAGTGAATGAATCGAGTGGCGCGATTTTGGACAGATTCGAGGTCGTTAATGAGGTATGTTTGGGGCGGGTTCCATATGGGGGAGGCATATTCGAGTTTGGATCTGATGAGGGACTGATATGCTAGCAACTTCACATGTTTTGGTGCATGACGTAGGTGACGATTCAAGAAGCCCAGAGTTTTATTTGCCGATGAAATGACGTTAGTAATATGCGCATTCCAAGTGAGATCGCAATACAAATTGACACCTAGATACTTGTAGGATGGTTGTGATTGTACAGGGACGTTGGCGATATGATATGAAAAAATGAAAGGATTCTTACGGCGGGTAAACGTAACAAGTTTGCACTTGATAGGGTTAAGAAACAAAAGCCAATTATCACACCAATCTTGAATGTGGTTAAGATCGTTCTGGAGAAGAATTTGGTCGTGAGTGTTAGTTACTGTCCGATAGATTACACAGTCATCTGCAAACATGTGGATTTTGCAGGATACGCTGAGGGGTAAGTCGTTGATGTATATCAGAAACAGGAGGGGGCCAAGAACTGAACCTTGAGGTACGCCTGATGTTACTTTGAGGTAAGCAGAAGATTTATTATTGACATGCACAAACTGAGAACGGTTAGTTAGAAATGCTTTGATCCAATTTAGTACACTTGGGTCTACGTTTAACTGGGATAGTTTTAGCATTAGTCTTTGGTGGGGTACTATGTCGAATGCCTTTGCGTAATCTAGAAAGATTGCGTCAGTTTGTAAGTTATTGTCAAGGTTAGCATGCAGATCGTGAAGAAATATTGCTAGTTGTGTTTCGCAGGAGAATCCTTTCCTAAAACCATGCTGGCTGGGGTGAAAAAAGTTGTTGGAATCTAAAAAGTTTACAATCTGAGAGTAGATGACATGTTCCATGATTTTGCATGGGACGCTTGTTAAACAAATGGGACGGTAGTTCAATGGACAGTTCTTATCACCTGATTTGTAGATGGGAACGACCTTGCCCATGTTCCAGTCATCTGGAAGAATGCCTGTGGAGAGCGACTGCGCATGCATCAAGCACAGAAACGGGGCAATGGTGTCATGGATATTTTTTAACACTTTTGAGTTAAAATCGTCGACGCCACCTGGTGAGGACAGTTTCATGTTTTGAATAATACTTGAAATACCACCTGCGCAAAAACAATTGAGCCCATAGAGGATGTCCACAGCACCGGGGCAGGAGAGGAAGGTACGCTAGATTCGTTAGTAAACACAGATGAAAATGCGCTGTTAAAAGCATCAGCACATTGATCATCTGAGAGCATGTGACCAGAATCATTAGTAAGGTGGATGGTGCTGGTAGGCCGAGGGTTTACTATCTGCCAGAATTTACGTGTGTTATCGGTTAGCATGTCTGGTAAATTCTGGTTCAAAAACGTATATTTTGCGTTACTAATAGCGGTAGTATATTCTTTTTCGGCTGCGTTGTATTTCGCCCAAGCTTCGGGCGTCTCGTTTGTTTTTGCTGCGCGAAAAAGGCGCTTTTTTCTATTCGCTAGTCTCTTTAGTTTGTTTGTAAGCCAGGGTTTCTGCGGTGTGCTACGGAATGATGTTGTGGGGATAAATTAGCTAATTATTTATTCATCTTATTTTTAAAAATATCCCAATTATTGCTCACAGATCGGGAGTGAAAGCTATGTTCGAAGTCTGGAAAGAAGTGTTTGAGTTCTTTGTTAATGGCCTCATAATTACCTTTATCGTATAAGGTAATTGTTTTCTTGAGTTTGTCGCGCCGCTCAAGAAGGAAGGAAAAACTGCATGTATTACTTTGTGGTCACTAATTTCGGGTAGGTATGACATGGACGATAAAGAATCTGGGCGGTCGGTTAGTATTAAATCTAGGATGTTAGCACAGCCGCCTGATATGCGCGTGGGCTCTGACACAAGTTGAGATAAGTTAAAATTCAAACATACGTCTATGAAATCTTTCGTTTCGACATCGTATGCCTACGAGTGTGCAGGGTTATGCAAATCAATTAAAAAAAAATAAAAGCTCTGTAATGAGTTCCAGGATCATGTGTTGGCAAAGTTCATTAAGGGGTGGTGGGTAGACAGGTGCGCGGTACAAGCAGTCAGCTTCAGAAAGATTTCGGCATGACTTGTAAACCACGGTGTCGTTGATTTCATGAAGTCTGAAGCTCCACCCTAAGAGGCGACCTGAAGTGTCTTTCAGATTTGCTAACCAACACCGAGCGGGGTGGTCATTCACAACCCTGGAAGACCTACCGTATGCGAATATTTCTCTGTATGCGAATATTTCTCTGTATGTTAATATTTGCTTCCACTTTCAAAAGCGACCGGCTAGCATACATTATGATCCCTTCAAGTCCATTCTTTTTTGTTGTTTTTCAACTACCATAGCACACAGGCTTACGCTACTTGCATCAACGCGAACTTCAGTTTGTGCGTCTTCGTCGAAGTGGGCGAGTATTGCAGACGCCTAAAGACATAGATTCAGTTCATGGAACACTACTTCTTGCGGTGTTTCTCATTTAAACTCGACATCTGTCTTCATTAGTTCAGAAAGTGGCTCGGCAATGCAAGGAAAGTTGCTGACGAAGAGCCTGAAATATAAATCGGCGCACTTTTTTCTTGTCAACAGGAGGTGAGAGTGTAGCCATGCCAGCGCTCTTCCGGAGGTTGCGGCGCACCACAGCTTTCCAGATGGCGTATTCTAGAAAGAGAAGCTCTTCGCATGCATATTGACACTTTCGGGGCTTTAGCGTAAGCCCGGGTTACTGAGTACTTGAGGGAATGTTCAAAGCCACCAGAGGTCTTCGTCAATGCTTGATGCGAAGGGCGCGACGTCATTTTTATAAAGAAGACAAGTCTGCCCCTTTCAACTCGCCAGCGTTGTGACCGTCACAGCTGCTGAAGAGGATCCATAGGGCATGACCCTAAATTTCAGCAGGCCATCTGCAGTGATTAAAACCGGTTTACCTTTACCAGTTTCCTCGAAATTCACTTTCCAGTGGCCAACCTTCAATTCCATCAGCGAGAAATGGCATGCGTGACCCAGCCGGTCCAAACTGTTGTCTATCTATGGGAGGGGTACGTGTACTTACTCGTTGTTAAAATGATGGTAGTCGACGCAGAAGCACAGGGTCTCATCCTTTTCTCCACCAATGTTAAAGGCGACGTCCACAGACTCTCTGGTGGTCGTATGATGTGAACGTGTTGACTTGGCGACTTGTTTCGTGTATTCTCGTTATCACGTTGAAGCTCAATAAGAACTCTGCAAGAGTGGACAAGCTTTGTTTCGATGCGAAAGGACGTTTCGCAAGTAGTGTTTTTCCAACTTTCGAAGACGACGAAAAAAGGCCCTTTTAACGTTGGGAAGCGTTTCATAGCTGTCCGCCAATTCACGTGGGAAGGCTTGGGCTGATGTCGAACATATTGGTTAAGGTGCTCGGATCACCGATGCAACTTCGGAAGCATAAAGTGCTACATTACATGGAAGACCGACATTTGGTGCACCCTGGACAACCACCTACTCTGCTACCAGGTGGTTGTCGTAGGTGGTTGTCCAGGGTACACCAAATATCGGTCTTCCACGTAAAGTACCACTGAACGACAGGTTGATGGAGTGATGTCGATGGTGGTGGTGAGAGCTGGAGATGTAAATGCGGTGATGCGGCGACCTGGAACAACCAAGGTGATGGCACACGACAGCTGGCGGCGGCAACGTAGGTCATGACTGCTTACTGAGGCTGCATCGGCTGAGTAACTTCAAATAACTGCTGATCATTTCAAAAACAACGTCAGCAATTGGCTGTTCTTGAGGCTGCAATACACGGAGAAGCCTATGCAGCCCCTCCCACACGATCTCTCCGATCGGCTTGTCTTCAGCGAGTTAGATACAAGACCGGCAAGCATTTCTTGTTTCACTCTCCAGAACAAAAAGCGAACTTTCACTTCTTCGGTTATACAGCGGGATCCGCATGGTGGCAAAGACAGGCCATTTTTTTCAGTGTACATATTTATGTCCTAGTTTCGAACCTCTGCACGGATTGCAAGCACAGCTTAGGGCAATTTGTTACGGGCGACACTCATTAGGATACCGGAGAATGCGGTGCGAATGCGGTCCTATGGTGTTAGCGTGGACTCTCATGTAAAAGCATTGATATGATAACTAGCTGTGGTACTTTAGCAAGGGTTTGTGAAGTATGTTACTTTACATGCACCCCGTTACCTTAGAGTGTAGAATACTGGGACCACAGTAGTCACTCTCCACCAACAGGTAGTGCTGTTCCTTTGGTCTCATATCTGCAGCACAAAGAAAAAAATACTGATTCGCAAAAGAAATGCGTGCACAGGTAAATTTACCATTTTAATCAAGGGAATAAAATGTTTCTCATAACATGTAGCCATCCTTTGAGGTAAGTGAAATCTACATATTATTATTGAGCATACTAAAGCGCCAGTGGAAAGAGACAACAATAATACTTGAATAGCAACATGGGTTTTTCCTAATACAGCCCCTTAATTGCACGTGGTGGAAAAAAAAAGCATGTGCATTAAGTAGAACAATAAAAGGCATTAGCGTTAACCATGAAGCCTTTATTGTTGCTACTATAGTTTTTTCCAATCATTTAGCTTGGGTGCACTGCCTAACTGATTGTGGCAGAGTGTTCTAGTCTATCATTGTTCATGGTATACGAACGACTTTGCAGTGCGTCATTATGTAGTTGAGGTACAACGAACGTAAAATTATACCTTTTTTCTAATAATAATAATATATAATAATAATAATAATAATAATAATAATAATGATAATAATAATAAGCTTATTCAATATCGGCAATAATAATTTACAAAATATCACTGTTCAAGAATGGTAATTCTCAAGGAGCCCCAAAGTTAAAAACTGTCGGGGGGGGGGGGGGGGGGGCTCCTAATCAAAATGTGAACAAAAAAAAGATATACCTAATTCAGTGGTTACAGTGTCTTCCGTGATAAAGAAAATAAACGGTGCGAAAATAAAAAAAAATAAAAAACACCTACATGCTGACCAGACCACAAAAAACATTCAGAAATTACACAGAACAGAAAACCAATATAATTAGTACTAAACAAAAGGACTTTGCTAGGATGAAGGCAGTTGTTGTAAAAAGTGTTTCTTTACTTGGTTTTTGAATGCGCGTTTCGTGCTTGATGATTCAATGATTTAAAGAAGGGAATTCCATAGTTTGATTCCCATAAACGTGATGGTGAACTTGCCGTAGTTCGTGCGAACCTTACTTTCTTAGAAAAACAGTGCGTAATCAGTTAGTAAACGGGTGAGTTTACTATAGTTTCCGAAGTTTTTCACTATCTTCGCGGCGTACTTTTACTAGCTAGCAGCTAGTACAGTTTGTAACTTTAGCCATTACTAAGCAGGAAACTTTTCTTAGCGCTTTTAACCAAGAAACTACCAAGTCACCAATGTTGCCAGATCTTTCGTAGATGCCGCAGCACATTTCGCCGTAATGGCAACATCATGAGAAAAACTTGTGCAAGTTTAATTTTATTGTATACCTAGAAATAGAAGTTTCCTGCTACTTTAAAGCAAACACATAAGCAAATAGAAGGAGACATAATGATGCGTAGAAAACAACAATTATCTTATAAATTTTGTACCAGCTAACCATGCAGTACGCAGCGTGTGATCCCAAGGCAGGGCATATATAGCTTTCAAGCTGCTGCTACAGTAGAAACCTGCTATACCCATGTCTTGAAAATTTACTTGTTCCTGCATTTGCGTGCGTGTTCTCGTGATCCGTTCATATGAGCTCTCATACTCATATGAGCATATAATCATATCTGTTAGAGGACTCATATAAGCTATAATGTAAATGCAAGGTAAACAGCGGAAGCGGCGTCGGTACCGAAGCAGCAAGAGCAGGCCGAGTATACGGGCAGCGTCGCAGCAGCAATCAGGCAGTCCTAGCTCGTGCCTCGCGCCCACGTGTCGATGTCGCTGCAGTAGTGGGCATTCCTCTTCACTACACTTCGTCCCCCGTCGGAAAAGGAGCCATCCTGGCGACTCATGGTGAACAGAGTACGAGCGGGTCGTAATAAGGTTTCAGCCGCTGTACGTGAATAGTTTGACGTCCCCGAAAGCGCTGGTCTGTGGATGGCGTAACGGGTTCGATGATGTAGTTAACTGGTGAAGTCTGCGAGACAATGCGGTAGGGTCCCTGGTATTTTGAAAAAAACTTCAAGGAAAGCCCTGTAGGCACAGCGGGAACCCAAAGCCACACAAGAGTGTCCGGAACAAAGTTGGGGTACGGGTGGTTATCGTCACGCCGACATTTTTGTCTCCATTGGTCGATGGTTGTGAACGACTGGGCGAGCTTACGGCATTCCTCGGCGCGGCGGGCAGCTTCAGAGATGGGCGTAGACTCGGAGGAATCGGGGTGGTAGGGCAGAATGGTATCTAGTGTGGTGGAAGGGTCTCGGCCATATAACAGGAAAAATGGTGAAAAGCCCGTAGTCGCCTGTGGAGCAGTATTGTAGGCGTATGTCACAAAAGGCAGAATGAGGTCCCAGTCGGAGTGGTCTGAGGCAACATACTTTAATATCATATCCCCTAGGGTACGGTTGAATCTTTCCGTCAATCCATTCGTCTGCGGATGGTAGGCGGTGGTAGTCCGGTGAATAATACGGCATTCGGCAAGGAGTGCGTTGACGACTTCAGAGAGGAACACACGTCCTCTGTCGCTGAGAAGTTCGCGCGGTGCGCCGTGACGGAGAATGAAGTGCCGCAAGAGAAAAGAAGATACGTCGCGTGCTGTGGCAGCAGGCAAAGCGGCTGTTTCTGCGTATCGCGTCAGATAGTCGACAGCGACAACAATCCAACGGTTTCCGGAAGCCGTGAATGGAAGAGGCCCGTACAGATCGATCCCAATGCGGTCAAAAGGCCTGGCTGGGCAAGGAATTGGCTGGATTGGACTAGAGGTGTGATGAGGCAGAACTTTCGGTCGTTGGCACTGCGGGCATGACTGAATGTACTTGCGCAAAAAGGTGTACATGCCTCGCCAATAAAACCGGGAGGAAATCCGAGCGTATGTTTTGAAGATGCCCGCATGTGCGCACTGAGGGTTAGCGTGGAAAGCTGAACATATTGCAGCACGAAGATGGCGAGGTATGACAAGTAGCCACTTTCGGCCCTCAGACTTTTAATTCCTGCGATAAAGGAGGCCATCGCGGACCTCAAAGTGAGCCGCGTGACGGCGCAACGTTCGAGAAGATGGAGAAGTCGACGGATCTGAAAGGAATCGCAGAACAGAGCTGATCCAGTCATCCTTGCGTTGCTCAGACGCCATGTCACAGTTATCTGGGAACGCAACCATTTCGTCCACGGCAGATAAACATGCAGAGCTTTCAGCGGACATAGGCGAGCGTGATAAAGCGTCGGCATCAGTGTGACGTCTGCCAGACCTGTAGACAACACGCATGTCGAACTCTTGCAACCGCAAAGCCCAGCGAGCTAAACGGCCGGAGGGGTCCTTCAACGTGGATAACCACAAAGCGCATGGTGATCGGTGACTACGTCGAAAGGGCGACCATATAGGTACGGTCTAAATTTACCTAGAGCCCATATAATTGCCAGACACTCCTTCTCTGTCACAGAATAGTTCTTCTCCGCTTTGGTGAGGGTACGGCTTGCGTATGCGACTACGTACTCCTGGAATCCCGATTTACGCTGCGCGAGCACGGCGCCGAGTCCAACACCGCTGGCATCGGTGTGTACTTCCGTCGGAGCAGTCGGGTCGAAATGACGCAACATTGGTGGCGAGGTTAACAGACGGCGCAACTTTTCGAAAGCATCGTCACAGGCGGGTGACCAAGCGTAACTTTTCGAGTCACTGCGTAGAAGTTCAGTCAAGGGGGCGGTGATCATAGCAAAATTCCTAATAAAGCGGCGGAAATAGGAGCAGAGGCCAAGAAAACTGCGCAAATCGTTCAGAGACGCAGGTTTAGGGAACTCTGCAACTGCCCGAAGCTTGGCTCTGTCAGGAAGAATACCCTCTTTAGATACAACATGACCGAAGATGGTGAGCTGACTTGCGCCGAAGCGGCATTTCTTAAGGTTGAGCTGAAGGCCGGCGTCAGTTAGGCACTGCAGCACTTCATCTAGCCTGCGGAGATGCGTTGGAAAATCCGGGGAAAATATAATCACGTCATCCAAGTAGCACAGGCATGTTTTCCACTTCAGGCCACGCAAAAGATTGTCCATCATCCGCTCGAATGTTGCGGGTGCGTTGCAAAGACCAAAAGGCATGACACAGAATTCGTAAAGGCCATCAGGTGTGACAAAGGCCGTCTTAGGCTGATCTTCAGGTGCCAGAGGGACTTGCCAGTAGCCACTCCGTAAGTCAATAGAAGAGAAGAACTCCGCACCTTGGAGGCAGTCAAGGGCATCGTCGATTCTCGGTAACGGGTAAACGTCCTTTTGAGTTATTTTGTTAAGACGACGGTAGTCAACACAGAACCGAATTGACCCGTCCTTCTTCTTAACGAGAACGACTGGAGATGCCCAGGGGCTGTTCGAACGCTGGATGACGCCACGCTTGAGCATGTCAGCTACTTGGTCATCGATAACCTGGCGCTCGGCTGCGGACACGCGATAGGGTCTTTGACGCAATGGCGCATTGGTACCCGTGTTGATGCGGTGACACACGGCTGACGCGCGGCCGAGGGGAGTATGCTGGCAGTCGAAGGAATAACGGAACTTATTCAGTAGTCGTAGAAGCTGAGCACGTTGCGAAACGGTTAACGTGTCGGCGATGGAGCTGCTCAGTACGTCCGGCCTAGTAGTCTGCGGCGAAGAGGCACAGGTCACTCCGGCGACTTCGTGTTCGGCGGAAGGACCAGCCGGCATGTCGATAATTGCAGAAGGGTCGAGACTGTAAACACGCCCGACGCACTCACCCCGGAGTACTGTTACAGGACATGACGACAGGTTCGAGATGAGTAGTCTGCTGACGCCGTCATGAAGTTCTAGAAGGGCATAAGGTAGCGGCGAACACTTGCGACGAACGAAAAGAGCAGATGGCGTGAAAAGGGCACTCGACTCGGCGAGCGAGTTGCAAGATACCATGGTAAGGGCAAAAGAGTGCGGCGGTATGATGACGTCTTCAGCAACAAATAGTTTGTCCCCGGTTTCATGAGCATCATGTAATGGAGCGTCGTCAAACACTTCAAATGCCACCTCAGCGCGCGAGCAATCGATGACGGCCTTATTAGCGGAGAGAAAATCCCAGCCCAAAATGAGGTCATGG